GGAGCGATATTTTCCAAGGAGCAAGCTACCTATTTTTAACGGTTTTCATTTTCAAAGGAGCTGTGTTGTCTAAGGCAGTACGCAGAGAACTAGCAACCCCATCAACAAAATCATCAACCTGTGAAGGGGAATAAGCTAAGCTTTTGCACTCTGCAGCACTGCTCAGCGACACAGAGGAAAGAGAAGGTGAAGCAGATTCTTTAAAATTTATAACTGCACTATCTGATAAAGATCTACTAAAATGTAACCTTCTTTTGGGGGAGGAGAACTCTGTTAAAATAAATCTGAAGGTTATTAGAAAGTGGTCAGAGAGGACAGGGTTGTGAGGAAATACTGTTATTGCTTCACATTCTATGCCGTATGTCAGCACCAGATCCAGCCCATTGTTTGTCACGGGGGGAGGGGTCAGCCTTTCCCTGTTTCCTCCTAATATCTTTCTTAATAGCTATTAACATAATGTTAATCAGATATCTGTCTGTTACCCTTACTTTGGTGTTATTGAAGTTGCAAATATATGTAGTACTACACATGATCGCTTTTTTCCAAAATTGAACAATTTTAGGAAATTTCCAAAATACTTGAGAATGATCAGCACTTATTGATCCACAATTACGCCAACACCCCATGTTTGTGTCCTTATATCTATTCTTAAATTTAGGCATGATGAAAATCATATTAGATTTTTCCATGTGAATTCCCTCCATATCCATGAACTGGTGAATGTTTTCCACACATCCAACCATCTTCATCTGAAACTGTCGTGTTAAGCTCTGATTCACACTTTTCTTTTATATATTTAGTTGAATGTTTATTCATCATCAGTTTTGTAATTTAAATTTTGGAGTTTAAAGTGGCATATTTATGAGAATAAACACGCAAATTTACGAGATTGTAATTATGCTAATTTAGATGAAACAAGTACCAAATGGATGAGAATAATACGCAAATTTACAAAAAAAAAAACACTTTACAAATTTATCAGATGATAAAGATGCTGATTTATTGTATCAATTATCTTGAAATTAAAATCTTCCATGAGGCCATTGAAGGTTTCATTCCATGGCTAAGGGCCCCAATAATGATGCATTAGCATGAGCTTTAAGTAAAACCGCACAGTGTACGCCAGGCTTATCTGCATTTCAATCTGCAGGTTTCAATCTTGAACATTTGCTTCTTTTTCTCTTATATTTGTATGTTTTTATTCGGTAAATTTTAGTGTTTATTCTCTTTAGTTTGTCACTTTAGGTTTAAATTCCTTTTTTTTTTCGCCTTTGAATGGCCCTGACACACCATCATAGTTCATAAAGCAGGTCCTGATGTCCATCCTACATCCAGACCATCTGCTCCTGGAGATGCTTCCTGGAAGGATGCTGTGAAACTTGGTTCCAGACCAGAACCCTGGAGGAACATTCAGCTTTAAAGAAGCTTTGATTTACATCAACATGACCTCTAAGCAGAAACTCTGAAGCAGCAGCATCAACTTTGAGCTGATAGGTCGAGTCCAACTCCAAACCTGATGCTTTCAGATTAAACATCAGCCAAGTCGACTCATTGCTGAGGGTCAGCTACGCACGCTTTGAAGGGAGGAGGAAGTGGAGGAGGGGAACTTCAGCCAGATTACATCATAGTTTCTCTCAGACATTTCAGTCACAAAAAGCGGTTAATTAACAGTTTGAATTCAACATGAATTAAATGTCACCTCAGAGGGGCGAGTCGTTCCTCAGATCAACATTTGATCTGCTGAATCCCAGCTGAGGTCTTTGATGGTTAGAGGGGCGGCTGGGAAAATGTTCAGGACACAAACCAAACGAGTAACTAATATTCTAAATACTTCAGATCTATAAAGATCAATGTTTACAGAACCTCATATCAGGGAAGCACCTGATTCAAGGTGTCAAAGATGCAGAATGACCAGAACCGTGAATACCAGCATCTTTCAGCAGAACCAGGAGGTCTTCAGTCTGGAGAAGAGCAAAGTTCCAGCTCCACAGCAGGCCCTTCATCACCCTTCATCTTCCTCCTACGGGATCCAGGACAGCATCAGCCCAGAGATGATCTGATCCAGGGCTGTAACTTTGTCATGAAGTGGGTGAAGGCGCTCTACGGGTAATGGGATTCTAAGGGTGGGGGCGCTCTAAAGGTGGAGGGATTCTTAGGGTGAAATTATATATATATATAAATATATATATATAGGGCCCAAAAACAACGTATAGTAAAAATAACAGCCGATTCCGACGCCCAAAATCAAAATCAATATATCCTGCATCCCTAGAAGTAAAATTTCAATTCCATCCATCCAGAAAAACCTGGATAAGCTGCATTTTAAATAAAGAATAGCAGATTTTTTTCTTGTAAGCTTTCTGGTAAACTTGGAGATAGATTTTATTGCATGTTGCGTAAATCAGCAGAAATGTTATGAATCTCTTTACTAATATAATGATGCTAGAAACTAAATATCCAGATCTGTAGAAGCTCTGCAGTCTGATTGTTCAATAAAAACATTTTAACCTGGAACTGGGAGAGTCATGGTCCTCTGAGAAGACTAACTTTTAACTAATAAAAAACAAACTATGTTTTCTCAAGCATCTTCCATTATGTTACCAACTTGTTTAAGCTTAAAATCTGTTGCCATGTTTAGCTGAAAAAGCTCCTAAAGTCTAACAGATTTTTCAGTGGAATAATCTATAGTTATTTTAACCAACCCGTCTCCTAACTTTTACTTAAACATGGAACTAGCTGCTGGTTAATATTCACCGAGTGCTGCTGTGTGTCTCCTCCACGTAGCGACTCTCTAAGCAGTGAAATACGATCAGATCAGGATTTACCGAGAGGCGGGACAAGGGAGCAGAACGAGAAAAAAAAACTGAAAATGCTCTGAACACAGATAGCTGCAGCCAACCTCTGTTACCTTTGGCTAAAGGAGACGAGTGGAAAGTGGGAAAAAAAGCAGAACTTATTGTGGACATGTCCACACCAGGCCTTCAGAAAGTTACGCCTGTGTCACCATTACAGTGGCCGCCATTCAAAATGTCCCCTGAGATTCCGCTTTGATTCAATTTTTGTACTAAAATATTCTGTCATGATTTGTGGAGGTTAAGATCTACAGAGAAGCGTCATCTCCTGGTCAGACCCTGTAATTCAGTGACAGGTTGGAGTCAGAGGAAAACAATATGGGCTGGAGGTGGGCTGCCATTCAGCTGGTGTTTGACTGGGAACGGCCATTTTGAATGGCTGCTACTGGACCCTCATCTGTCTTATTTACAATAGACCGTTTCCATCCAGGTGGATTTTATCTGTAAACAACTCTTTATTTTCAATATTTGGATTTCTTTTTATTCCATTAATTTCTACCTTCTGCTGCTAACTTGTTCATTTTTTGCACTGTTGCTGTTTTATCTTTAACATTTCTGTGGATCTATAACCCCAAAAACCTCCGATCTGCGTTTGATGACATCACTAATTCCTGTCCTCTGAAGTTCTACTTCCTGCTTTGCCCCCAGTGCTGCTCACCCCCCCAATGCGCCAACGCTCCGTCTACGACTGAAGCCACCAGGACCATCGGAAGCAGACAGGAGGCGGCTTTAGAAACCAGTCAGAAGACACCTTTGTGAGAACATTTATTATTCCAACACATCTGATTATACAAGTCTGGACACACGGCTGTTTGAAGGACATCTGTTAACATTAGCAACCGTTTGGTACGAGGCCCGAGGAGTTTCTAGGAGAATCCCTGAAGCTGAAGGAGCAAAGTAAAATCAGGAGAACACCTGGAAGGGGGCGTGGTTTGATCTTTAAAGCCTCGTGTAGGAATCCTAACCGAGAAGACTAGAAATCAGCTAACATCACCGACAGACAGGAGCAGCAGACGCCTGCTGGAAGCAGAAGCTCAGCTTCCTACAGAAAGAGTGTTAGAGTGGAAAAGGGGTGCCTCGAGACTGCCGGGTCCCCTGACCCGTTCACAGGTCCTTCAGGTCCTTCTGGATGCCCCACAGCGTGTCGGCGCTCTTCTTCAGCTGGGCCACCTCGGCGTCGGTCAGCGTCATGTTGACCACGCTGCCGACGCCGCTGCCGTTCAGGATGCAGGGCAGCGACAGGAAGACCTCCTCACCGATTCCAAACATGTCCTGGAACACGAGAACAGAAGCAAGCTGAGGAACCGCCCCCTATCGACGCCTAGTTACCGAGCACCTCGCCAGAGGGGCTGGGCTGACCTTAACCATGGTGGAGACCGGGTGGACCCGGCTCAGGTTCTTCACGATGCTCTCGGTCAGGTCCGCCACGCTGAAGCCAATGGCCCAGTTGGTGTAGCCCTTCAGCTTGATCACCTCGTAGGCGCTGGAACACAAAGCTTCAGAGTTACTCAACGCCGCCTCCAGAACCGCGGCGGATTCCGCCATCACCCGGTCGCTTCTCACAGGACCGAGCAGACAGGTAGGAGAGCGGCGTTGATAACGGGACCACTGACCTGTCGACCACGGCTTTGTGGGTGGCCTTCCACTGCTCCTTATCGCCATCGGTGCCGATCTCCGGGTTCAGCTTCTGCAGGTTTACTCCGGCCACGTTGGCACCGCTCCACACAGGAACTGCGGTGGAAGCACATCAGGTTAGCGCGGCGCCGGCGTCCCGGAAGCGGCTTCAGCAGAACCGGACTCACCGCTGGTGTCTCCGTGCTCGCCCAGCACCCAGCCGTTGAAGGAGCTGGAGTGGATGCCGAGGCGTTCAGCCATCATTTGGCGGAAACGGGCGGAGTCCAGGTTGGTGCCGCTGCCGATGACGCGATGTTTGGGCAGACCGCTCAGCTTCCAGGTGACGTAGGTCAGAACATCCACTGTCATTTGGTGGAAGCAGAAGGACAGAGTTATGACCAGCAGCACCAGCAGGCTGCCAGCAGGGGGCGCCGTTCTCACCAGGGTTAGACACCACCAGAATGGTGCAGTTGGGGCTGTACTTCACGATCTGCGGGATGATGGACTTGAAGACGTTGACGTTCCTCTGGACCAGGTTGAGGCGGCTCTCGCCCTCCTGCTGACGGACGCCGGCCGTCACCACCACCAGGCGGGAGTTCGCCGTCACGGCGTAGTCTGAGAACAGAGACACAAAGCAGACCCGTTGGACAGCGTCGGCAGGGAGGGGCACCAACGTGAACACAGAGCGGCCGCTCACCTTTATCCGCAACCACCTTGGACGTCTTGAGGAAAAGCAGGCCGTGCTGCAGGTCCATCATCTCCCCTTTGAGGCGGTCCTCCATCACGTCCACCAGAGCCAGCTCATCGCACAGGTCCTGACGCGGCGAGACGGGACAGGTTAGCGCCAACGCCAGCCGCTTCTCTCCACTGGATGGACAAGAGTCTTACCCGCAGCAGGATGCTGACGGCGCACGCCATGCCGACCTGGCCCACGCCGACCACCGTCACCTTGTTCCTGGGCGGCTCGGCGGTGGCGCCGGCCACGGGGGTGATCAACTTCTGCAGGACTGAAGACATGACTGACCTGCAGGAACAATCAGAGCAAAGACTTCCTGTCACTCAGCGCCTCGCCATGATGACCGTCTGCAGCTCCCACTGATGCCCTGCAGGTGGAGCTGTACAGCATCACGCCTACTGAGACGCATTTCTGTCAGTCTACGCAAAATAATGTGGAGATCGAGAAAATAAAAACCTGACGTTTTAGATAAAAGCCGAAGAGAAACGCGCTGCAGCCACAAACTGAACTCTAGGAATTTTAAAGTCGGGATTATTTCAATAATCCAGCGGTCCCCAACCACCGGGCCGGTCCGTGGGTCATTTGGTACCGGGCCACACAGGAAAAAAAAGTGTGTATATATATATAAAATTCATCAACAGAGTCTGAGTGATGTATAATTTTGAAAAATATAAAAAAATTGCGATATTCTCTCCCAATTACATCAGTCGGTGCATCTGTGCCTCTTGACACAGGTTAAGACTCATCCTATCTATAACATCCTATCTTTGTGAAGCGGGATTTTCTGCGGTTACAGCAACCAAAACAAAGCTACGGAGCAGACTGGACATCAGGAGCACACTTCGTCTGTCATTTTCTCCGATTACGCCTAGATGGGACCGGCTTGTTTTATTTTTATGTTGTTTGTATTTGATTTTATGCCAGTCCACCCCCGGTCCGTGAAAATATTGTCTGACATATAGCGGTCCGTGGTGCAAAAAAGGTTGGGGACCGCTGCAGTAATCCTTTCAGGAATTTACTAACTGTTGACCCAAAATTCCCATCAACCAGAACCAGATCCCAGAACCAGATCCCAGAACCAGATCAGACCCGACAGGATGGAGGACGGGAAGCTCTGCTGCTTCTGGAGCACAGCTGGTTCTGCTGGTCCACTCTGCAGCAACCCAAGGTCAAAGGGTCAGAACCAGGTCAGAACCGGCTGTCCTTCATGAACCACCACATTTTCCATGATGCTGCCTCTTTGCAGCCAGCTGTCTGGAAGTGCGCAGCAACAGGTGGGGGAGGAGCAGCTGAGCCTCAGCAGGTCCAGCTGATGGGTCTACTGATGCTCAGAACCTGGAGCCGCTGTCAGAGCCTGAGATCCATAAGCAGCACCATGGAGGTCCATTTAGAAGCAGCTGTAGGTCCGGTGACCCGGACCGGACCGGTTCTGGGCCAGTTGGAAGGCCGGGGATGAGGCCAGGGGCCTGAAGCATGTAGCCTGTTAGCTCAGCAGGCTAACACCAAGGTCAGAGGAGGAGAGCATGGGGGCCCTCAGGGGCCCCATTAAGGTCGCCCTGGCCGTCCTCTGTCGACCTTCATGCGGAGCAAAGATGGAGGCTGCGGGCGGAGTGACGCGGTGGTTGGAGGAGCTGCTGGGTTCTGGTTCCGTTTCTGGTTCCGTTTGCGTCACACTTTACATTTTACTGAACATTTTTCAACCGGAAGTTCCAAACCAGCCCAAATACTTCCGTTACCAGATGTTCCTAAAATGTCTGCCTGCGCAGCAGAACCGAACCGAACCGAAAGGTTCCCGCAGAGCGGCCCCTGAGGGCCGCGTGCGACTTTCAATGTGAGCGGATCCCGCCGCAGCGCGCGGAGCGGCCATGGATGCTGAGGCCCGCTGCACGCAGCGCGGAGCCGCAGCCCTACCGGTACCGGCAGCACAGGACCGAACCGAACCGAACCGGACCAGACCAGGGAAACGAACATGAACCAAACTCACCGATCAGGAGAGGCTGTGATGTGAGCGGAGCAGCAGAGGAGCAGAGGAGCTGTGGAGGAGCAGGAAGAGGAAGAGGAGGATGGGCTGAGGAGGGGGAGGGGCTGAGCAGGGCGGCTCTTACGTCACCCTTTTATCCTTCCTCCCACCAGGTGATGAAGATGATGATCAGAGGAGCTTCTGTTTACTGTTTGTTTTCAGTCATTAGTTCTATGGAAAAATAAAGTAATTGTTTCCATTAATGTGTTTATTATATTTATAGACAAGATCAGTGTTTCTGTTGCTAAACATTTAGCTAGCGCCAAGCTAAATATTTATCTAACAAAACAAGTATTTAGTTTGGAAAATAAATATTTAGCTTTCTGGAAATCTAAATATTTAGTTTGGAAGTTTTTTTTATAAATGAATGATGGAGTGAAAAATAATCCATAAATATTCCTCCTCATCTTTCACAGCTTAACTGTACAGACGGCCCCATAGAGAAGAAAACCACTTCCTCTGCAGCCTGCATGAAGGACAAAGTACGGAAGCTCAGAAGGTCCATCCCTACATGGCTCCTGCAGATGTCACCTCTGGGCTCCTCTCACAGAGTCAATGACCTGGAGTGGCCCTTAGAAATGAAGAACCCATGTTCTTACAATCTGAGGCTCTCATAGTTTCACTCATTCATGTTTTCCTTTTTCTGGAGGCGTTGAATAAATTCTGCAGGATTCCAACAAATCAAATGAATCATTCCAGCACTTTTCCTTCCATCAAATGCTGATTTTCATTTACATGAAGGAAGACCCAGAAATGTCCCTCTGCTCATTCCACACAGATCAGGTTTTACTTCACCAAGATCCTCCTGTGAGGAACTTCCTGTAGGTAAAGCTGGGATATTTTTCTTCATCCACAGCTTTACTCTGATCAAACATAGATCTAGAACCAAAACCACTGCAGCTCTATAGAAAAGTCCAAACATTAAACTGACCCACTTATGGTTAAAAAGGCTAGAATGCAAACATGGATCCAGAGAGCTGAACCTTCATGCTGTCAGCAGGTACGGACCAGAAGAGCAAATGACTTTAAGCTGGTTTCCCAGTTAGCTGCTGAGCAGCGTTCCGTTATCAACCCAGTCAGTCCAAAGTGGGTCATCACCAGGAGCAGATCTATATTAGACTGGCTAGAAAAACAAAGGGCATCAAGGTGTTGCAATAGTCTGGGTAAAGTCCAGACTTTCTCTGAGTTCATAAAGGGTGAGTGATGTCATCAGGCTGGGCAAATCCCAGTTTATTAGCATATTTAGAGCAGAACATGATTACTACTGCTAGACGTAAAGCACCATTAGAGGCAGGGGGGGATTTACCATTAGGGCAATACTAGGCAGCTGCCTAGGGGCCCAAGTTCCTGGGGGCTCCATAAAACTCTGTTTCCATGTATGGTTAAAACAACTATTCCTTATTTGTGCACATTAATTAT